TTCCCTACATATGAAAAACTAGCACTTTCATTTGTTGAATACTACTGTTAACCCTTTTCTTTTTAAAAGTGATGGACCATGGTCTTCCCTTCCAAAGGCCCTTCTCCCCCACTGAGTGTTTCCTAGACATTATCTTCAATATACAAGACCTAAGCCATCACTTATTACTCAAACTCCATTTCTGCTAGGAAGTTCTAAGAATACCTTGATTCTTTCAAGTATTTCAAGCCCACCCCTTTTGACTAATTAGATCTAATAGACACCTTCACCCCTGGTTGTGACAGACATCTTCCCTGAGGAAGTTAACCTAAGCTGAGACGTCAGCCTAAGAGTCAAGTGTGCAGAGCGAGCGCTGGCAGGCAGTGGGAGCCCGTGGCTGGATAAGGCGGCTGGGCAAGTGACAAGATGAGGACACACAGCAGCTACATCATTCAGGGTTTCACTGGATAAGGAAAAATGTGCTTCATAACAAGACACAGGAGCAACAGGAAGCCACTTAATTACTTTGGGTAGAAAGTGTAACATCAGATTTGTATGAGTTTTGAAATGGATCAGAAGTATAAGAAATGAAAACTACGAGACCAGTTGAGAGAGAGAAATGGGGCCTAGACAGGAGGTGGCAGTCACTTAGAAAAGGAGGAAAACGAAGGTATTTCAGATAAGCAAGGTAGGGTGATAGGATCCGACAATTAGTTATACAAGGTAAGTTATACAAAGCATGGCGATCTGAGGTTTGAATTATCCATCATTCACCTGTTCATGCAAATACCTGAGTGCCTACTTAGGCACTGGGGCGTATATAAAGTCCCTGACTTGGTGGAAGTGGTGTTCCCTGCTCTGATGAAGAGCGCCGCACAGGGCCAGGTTAGGGGGATATCACATGTTCAGTCTTGGTCACAGGTAAGGCATCTCTGAGACATCCAAATATTCAGAACAAGTAGGTTTAGGCATGCCTAGGGCTAGAGATAGAAACCTGAGAATTGTTAACACATCATATGTGAAGTCTTCGCATAGACTGGAGATCACCTGGAGAGTATAAATATACAGTAACTAGGGACCTGACGCAGAACCTTTAAGTATGCCAGCGTTTAGAAGGTCCCGTAAGGGAGAACAAGCAGGCATGTGAGATTCAACACTGGTCAGAGGAGGGGAGAATCTTCCCTGAATTTGCTTCAGGCTTAAATCAAACTTTCAACTGTGTCCTCTTTATATCTGCTGTTGGCATATACCAATTATTCCCATCTCTGACCATGATTATTAAAATGAACTACAGAAAAATGCCAAAACTCATTTCTCGTAGTAACCTCTGACCCCCAGAAGAATCTCGGTTAAACATGGCTGGATTCCTCAAGGGGTTTTCAGAGGCCGAAAGCAGCAGTAGGGACATCACGCTGAAATGACCCTTGGCCTGTTTTCACTTCGCCCAGAAGACCAGTTCCTAATGGGACTTCTCAGAGAATCCTCCTCCAGAGCGGTATTGATCTTCTCACTCACAGGAGAGCAGCTGAAGATCAGGCAACAGTAGATATTCAGGAAAAAGACATTTCAAAGGTCACTAGTCGGATGTGTACTTTTGAGACAAAATATAAACACATAATAGCTCATTTACTCCACTTTTTAGAAAAAGGAAATAATCTAGAGAAAGTAGGAAAAAATAAATTTTAGCACTTCAAAGACAGGTTTTAAGATTTTAATTAATGTGTTTTCTTTAAATACTTTTCCTGCACTTTTAACAGAGCACATCAAATGGAATGAGACCTTCTAAGGATACAGGGGCCGATCTGCTTATCTCTGAACACTACAGCAATGTTCTGATGCCTTCCTGGAGACACATTTTATTCTCTTCTAGTCAGTGGCTGCTCTTTCTTGCTATTTGTCTCTCGTGTCTTTGTCAGTTTAGTGATCACTGTGCCGACAGCTAGAATCATCTTTATAAAACTGGGGCTGGGGGCCACCCAATAACCTGATCTAGCCCACATGAGACAAGTCTGTCTCACTCTGTCAGCATGTAAAACAAAAGTAAGAGTTAACCCATCTGCAGATTTATCATAACGGATGCTAAGCGTTCACAGATCTCTAGCCCACGCTGCCAGATGAAGTTTAAAAAAAGTGCTGGCTACAGAGTAAGAGACAGTATATGCTAAACTGTTAACCTGCACTGTTTTCCTACTTGTCCTCCACATGCTGAAGTTCAAATGTAACCTTGTATTCTACTGCAGAAAAGGAACCAGGACAGGGCACAGCTCATTTGCTAATGAGCTAACTATGCCATGACCGCCTTAATAAACACATTTATAGACAGCTTCAAAAGCAACTTGTTCCATATGCACACCTGTCAGAAAATCCTACTGAAGGTGTTTCCGATGTCTCCTAAGGTCTAAGTCCTTCACAGCACGAAGATAAGAGTCCACAGTGACACCTTACCTTCCTGTAGTACTCTAAGAAACTGACTTCAGAGCCATCAGCTTTCTTAAAGGTACTCTTCGGATTCTGGTCCCAGTCAATATCATCTATTCTGTATGTTTTATTGTTATACCTGTGGAGTTAAAATTTTATTGGTATTTGATTAAAATATGTAGAAATGGTATTAAAAAGAGGAGCTAGACACTATGTACTCTCTAAAAAATAAAATTTCAAGTCATTTGGCAATATACAATATTATGGAAAGATAAAGGGAAAATAATTTCTTAAAGACTACGCTATACACTAGATGGACGGGGAAGTTAACTAAACTATTAGAAAATAAAGTTAAAACTAAACAGAGGAGAAATCATTGGCTATTTCTCCTTTTAAGATGAGTATATGCCCCCAAACGTTGTGCTCTTGAGAAGAAGGTTATGAATACCCCCCCATTTGTGTGCTGTTCCCAGCTCTCCGCTTTAAGCCCTGCTTCCTCCCCATCTCACACTATAGGGCCAGAAAGCCTCAATATCTCCAGACGCGTAACACTGCTCTGCGTTACTAAAAGCCTTACTTGGTGAGAACAATTAAGCCTATCAGCTCTTTGGAAACGTGTTCTTGAAATTTATGCTCCTCAGTTTGATGAAACAAGCTGAGCATGAAATCTAAAACGGTTTCACTGCGAAGGACTTTATGACTGACATCAGTGCAAAGCATGATGTTATTTTCATACTGAAGAATAGAAGTAGTGAAGCCAGGCCAAATCACCAACCTGTCAAAGACAATGAATGCCATGAACATCCAAACATGTTTTGCATGTATCAAGTTATGGTTTTTTACATTTATTAACTGGGTCAACAGTACAAGTCCTTGAGTACACTTACTTAGCTTCAGGGTTTACAGGGTTCCAGATGAAGACTGATCTTTTTAAGATCTTCAGCAATGAATGTTTATAATAATGTAATAACTTTATAAGTTCCATTTTAAATTTAACATACTAACTTCATTAAATTTTATTACTTATATTGATCGAAGACTTGAAAAATCTAATTGAAAGCATCTACATTTATTATAATAAACCTAAACCACTTGAGCTGCAATCCTGATACACTTCAGTAACTTTTGAAGCAACCGTCACTAGCTGATGAATTTTGTTACCTAAGAGCAAATACAAACTTTGTGTTGGATAAGTCTTTATGCTTTTCCCCCATGACAAATAAATATCACATGATTTTTTAAAATCCAAATATTCTGGGATATCTCCTTTATTATTTAAGCCAACAGGTTAAATGTTCACTTAATGTGATGGGCACCACTAGCGGCCAGAGTAAACCTGATCACTTCAAAACAGAGCATCACCATCAAAGTCTGTGATTAAACCTAAGGAAAAGAAACTTTCCACTTCATACAAACCTATGATTTGGAATATCAATTGGGTCACTTGGGTTATAATAATTCCGTCCAATCTGCTGCAAATTCATCATCTTTAAAAGCCTAGAATTTGAAAGGTCAGAATAGAGAAATGAATATTGATAAACATCTCTAACACTACAATCACAATTGCATGTTATTTAGAGCAGGAGTTGGCAAACTATGGCTCATAGGGGGGCCACATCCAGCCTACCTGCTGTATGGCCTAGGAACTATTTTTTCTTTTTACATTTTTTTAAAGGTCTGGAAAAAAAATCAAAAGATTAACGATGCATGAATTATGTGAAATTCAAATTTCAGTGTCCATCAGTAAAGCTTTATTGGAACACAGCCATGATCATATGTGTCCAATGACTGTTTCTGTGCTTCAACAGCAGAGCTGAATGGTTGAGACACAGACCACATGGCCTGCAAAACCTAACATGTTTACTACCTGGTCCTTTGCAAAGAAAAGTTTGCCAACCCATCATTTACAGAAAAATAAATCTTCTATGACATTAATTCAAACAAGTATCCAACAAAATGAGTCAGTGACAGGTTATCTCATGACCAACTTAGGTAAATTACAAATCCAAGAATTATGTCTCACTATGCTCATGCCAAGCTCAGGCTCATCCAGATTGCTTCCCACTCAGCAGGGGGACGGCAGGGGCGGGGGGCCTTCACAGAACTTGTGTCCAACAACTTTGGGTTTGGAAAACACAGCACCCACACTGAAAGCCAATCATGGAGCATGCACTATACGTGTCCTACGATGGAAGAAGTAAATCGGAACGGACCTAAACCCTGTCCTGCTTTCTGAACTGGCACCCACTGTGGGACAGAAGGAATATAAAGTTAAAGTGCTGAGAGAATGTGTGCTCTTAACATAAGCTCAGATGGGATCTGAAAGATCTAATCTCAACACAAATAGGGAAGTGAAAGACATGACGCTCGCTTAAAGCAAATAAATGAGACTTATACCAGTACACCGCACCTAAAAACGATTAAAACTCAGGGTAACCCAACGATCCTAGCCAACCATTGTAAAATCTAGGTACTAAGTACACAGGTACTTATTGTACATGTCTTTCAACTTCTGATTATGTTTAAAATTTCTTAATACAATGTTAAAAAATGCCAACATACCTCCTGAAAATAATATTATAGAACTGCAAACAAGTTGGTGATGTGGGCGGGAGTTCATTTGTCAAGGTGACAGTTATCCTCACGTGCTCTCCATTTCGGGTCTGACTAAAAACTTCGGTAACCTGAAGCCAGAGTGGTGAAAAACCAAACTTTTAATTTCGTTAAAATAGGGCCAATCACATAAGCCTGTTGAATAAGGCAACAGTGAAAAGTATGGAAAAGTTTTAGATTAAAAAAAAAAAAAGAATGACTATGAGAAAAGAGTGACTAAGTGCCTTGTTATCATTTGACTGTGATCATTAAGTCACTCAGGTGGGTCTGAGAATGGTATAATAATGCCAAATACACCCATGGGTGTATTACAAGTCCTGACAGACAGGGGACCACTGGGGTTTCTCTAAAGCTACCCCAGACTGTGGCAGTTTAGCTTTGAGGTAGAACTCCCCATCTCCCTCTCCCCAACCCGACAACTGAAATAACCTTGTGCTGTAGTCTTTTAGGTAAAAATAATATTGTTCCATCAAAAGCATGACACCTTCCAATTAAATCTTCATGTTGAAAAAGAAGAGCTGAGCGGAGTCTTCTGGCTTCCATCAATGGGTTATAGTCAACGTGATACTGATATAAGGCCCACTGGGGACGGGATGTCAATCGAAAATGGTTGGTGCTTAGCCTTACTATAGTACCTGAAGAACCTGTAAAAGTAAGTCACATTCAATTAATGAAATATCAAGTTTATTCTTCCTTGAAATCTTCACTGCCATGACAAGGCAGACACAGTTCTGTAAACAAGGGGTTAAAAGCAGCGGACAACACAAAAGTCCTCAGACATCTGACTCTGGAGACTATTCCACTTAGGTAAATTACTAAAAGCATGCATTTAGAAACAAATCCTCCCTAGACTGAGTAATTTACAACCGAACCAATGAAATCTCTTTACAGCAAAAAGCTTTAAAAGAAAAAAGTAATCTATGTAATAAAACAACATTTCAGTGCAGCTAACGACATCCATAACTTATTTCAAAACCAAAAGGGAGAGAGGAAAATGGAAAAGCCATCCATGCAAAATCCTTGACCAAATGTGCTCCTTCACCTTAGTAATGCATCGTACAAATAAATACCGAAATCAAAGTGCTTCAATTCACTGTCCTGTGTACTTGAAAACTGTACTCTTAATAATTAACCTACCTGTTTTTGATTCTTTAACATGATCTAGGTTCTGTCTTGTATTCACACCAAGATCATGAAAGTCTCTACGACGACCTCCTCTGTCTGCTAATGATAACTCCTGAAATCCAGCAGATATCTGGAGTTCTTAAAAAAGAAAAAGGAAAAAAAGAAAAAAATTATACATCTAAGTTAATATGCAGCATGAAATAAAGAATGACGATTCCCAAAGTACTCTACTACGTGAAACCCAAAGGCTCCTGAGGTGCTAAAGATAGTGCCTAACAATCCCATCAGAATGTTTCAGGTAACTGCCAAAGGAGAGAACAACTTCCCAGCCACAACCTCTTCTGTGAAGCCCTTCTTGCCACTGCCCTAGGCGAACTCAGCTCCTTCACAAGACATATATACCTCTACAAGATCAAGACAACTGGAGTGATTCAAGAACTTAGGAGCACATGTTTATTGGCTGGGTAATTATTTTTCTGTCTCTAGGTCTGATAGCCACCCGTGGGCCTTAACATCAGTATTTTTCACAATTTTTATGATGTAATTATAGCTGTAGGAATTGGTAATTCATATGATTTAAATGTGCAACCTGAATTAGAAAACGTTAAGTCTAAAATGTAATTTCCTCACTAATTTCCCTTATGGACCAGCAGAGCAGAGGGGATGGGCCTGTGTATATCCCCTGGCCATGATACACATCTACTGGGATAGGTTAACCATCAGTTCATGCTTACTTGTAAAAGCTGTGGCTAAAATATCCTAAATGATTGAGTCCTTTAATTTGCATGACATATATTATGAAATATCTCATATCAATAGTATGATGTGGGCCAAAGAATGAACATGGGCTTTGTAGTCAAGGGTTAAGTTCTAGCTTTCAGTTAACAGGCATGTTATCTTGTGTAGCAGAGACTATTGACTACCCAATAACCAACCTTTCATTCTTGTTTTAAAATTTTGGGGAGTAATACAGCTAAAAGACTAGAATTTCCACCTTCCTTGCAGGTAAGGAGGGCCTAAGAGACTTATGCAGAAATTACTGGATGAAATGTCTGGGAAAGCACCATAGGGGAGTCAATAGCTGGCTTTTCTGTTGTCCATGCCCCTAGCTGCCAATCTTGCCTGGAATCTGGATGTGATGGCAGGAGGGAGCTCAAGCAGACATTCTGAACAAACCATAAGTCTTAATGACGGAGGTCATGGACTTGGGAGGAGGGAACAAAAAGATGAGAGCCCAGTTCTCTTCTGACCACAACTGCCAGAACTAGCCCAGAACTGCCAGCTTCTGGAGGAGACGTAACACAGCTTAAACAAAACATATGTTATTTTAATGTGAGCTTCAATTTCTTCACCTGAAAAACTGATTATAATAAATTTTACAGGATGTAGTAAGTTTTAAATGAGAACTTCGTTTATTAGGCGCTTTAAAGGTCCTGCTAAATATGTTGGTTCTTGTGCCTCATGATTTTCAGGGGCTCTATTTTAAAAGTCTTTTAATATGCAACTGTTTATATTTGTCTCCCTTAGTGAACTTTTTATCCCAAAGTCTTTCAGCTTAAGATATCCACGGATTAATTACATTAACAAAGGTCAGGTATTGAGTTTCTCTTAAAAAAAGATCAGTTCTGGATGTGAAAACCTGATTGCAAGTTTCTGAATGTAAACAATGATGAAGTTTGCTCCCCTCTCTACATATAGCACTGCTATTATGAACATTTTAGCCAAAACTTGATTAACTGTCAATCTAGAAAGATGACACATTTCAAAATGGATACAACTGGAAACCCTGATAATTCCCCTTCCACGCAGCTGCCAGAGCGCTTTATTAAAAAAAACACGAATCCCATCGATCATGCTGCTGTTCCATTTAAGAGTCCTGCAATGGAACCCTATCCCCCTTCACAGAGTGAAAACTCGAGGTCTTAAACAAGGGAACATTAACGATAAATCTGTTAAGGTCGTCATTTTAATTTCTAAAACATAGTAGATACTTGAACATTTACTGTGAGAAGCACTTCTCAGATATGATACTTACAAGACCAGTGAAAGGCGGTAAAGTCAGGCCTTGTATTTGTGACCCTGAGTATCACTTGATCTTCACAGTGGCCCTCATCTATAAAGATGCAATATATACCTTTTCATAGGTAGGGAACTAAGTTTCACAGAATTAAATTTAAATTCATAAGAACTGTTAAAAAAGTATTAGTGAAGATCAATACAAAGAATGTTTAGATTTAAGTGTTTCCAGAAATTTTATTTGCATTTTAATGCTTCAATAATAAGGATATGTTTTTTAAAAAACAGCTTCAGTGCATCTTTTTGCCCAGAGTTTTAATTCAATGAAATTTTGCTCTGTTGAACACAGCTGAACATGTCAAATATTCTAAGTTTCAAAAGAACTGTGAAGAACAAAGCAAGAGACATCACACTTCCTGATTTCAAGCTATACTATAAAAGTGCAGTAATCAAAACGGTATGATAACGGCACAAAAACAGACATAGACCAACGGAACAGAATCAAGAGCCCAGAAATAAACCCAGGAATACATGGTCAACTCATATCTGACAAAGGAACCAATAATATTCAATGGAAAAAAAGACAGCCTCTTTGAATTATGGTTTTCTCAGGGTATATGCCCAGGAGTGGGATTGCTGGGTCATATGGTAGTTCTATTTTTAGTTTTTTAAGGAACCTCCATACTGTTCTCCATAGTGTCTATATCAATTTACATTCCCACCAACAGTGCAAGAGGGTTCCCTTTTCTCCACACCCTCTCCAGCATTTACTGTTTGTAGATTTTTTGATGATGACCATTCTGACTGGTGTGAGGGAGGGAGACACAAGAGGGAGGGGATGTGGGGATACATGGATATATGTATATGTATAGCTGATTCACTTTGTTGCAGAGCAGAAACTAACACAACACTGTAAAGCAATTATACTCCAATAAAGATGTTAAAAAAAAAAAGTCTCTTCAATAAAGGGTGCTGGGATAATTGGATATTCACATGTAAAAGAATGAAACTGGACCCCTATCTTACACCACTTACAAAAATTAACTTGAAATACATTAAAGACTTAAATGTAAGACCTGAAACCATTAAACTCCTAGAACAAAACAAACAAAACAAAAAGCTCCTTGACAGGGGATCTTGGTAACGATTTTTTTTTTTTTTTTTTAAAGATATGACACCTAAAGCACAAGCAACAAAATAGTTGATAAACAGGTGGGACTATAAAAAACTTCTGGACAGCAAAAGAAACCATCAACAAGGTGAAAATACAACCTACAGAATGGGAAAAATATTTGCAAACTTTACATATGATAAGGGGTTAATATCCAAAATATATGAAGAACTCATACAGCTCACTAGCAAAAAACCAAATAAGCCAATTTAAAAAACAGGCAAAAGACCTGAACAGACATTTCTCCAAAGAAGACATATGAAACACTAACAGGCACATGAAAAGATGCTCAACATCACCAGTCATTAGGGAAATGCAAATTAAACCCACAATGAGCTGTCACCTCACGCCTGTCGGAATGGCCACCATCAAAAGGACACCATAACAAAGGCTGGCATGGATGAGGAGAAAAGAGAATCCCTGCGCACTGCTGGTGGCATTTTAAATTGGTGCAGCCACTATGGAAAACAGTATGGAGGCTCCTTAAAAAATTAAAAATAGGACCACCATATGATCCAGCAATCCCACTTCTGGAAATATATCCAAAGGAAATGAAAATACTCACTCAAAAAGATATCTGCACCCCCATGTTGGTAGCAGCACTACTGACAATAGCCAGGACATGGAAACAACTTCAGTTGTCCATTGATGGATGAATGGATAAAAGAGTTTGTGGTGCATATATATAATGGATTATTATTCAGGAAATAATAAAAACAGGAAACCCAACCACTTGTGACAACATGGATGGGCCCTGAGGGCATTATCCTAAGTGAAATCAGTCAGACAGAGAAAGACAAATTACTGTATGATCTTGCTTACATGTGGAATCTAAAAACAAACAAACAAAAAACAACCCCAAACCAAACTCACAGAAACAGAGATCAGACTTGTTACCAGAGGCAGAGGGTAGGGAAGGGAGAATTGGAGGAAAGTGTCTGAAAGTACAAACTTGCAGTCATAAGATAAATAAGTACTAGAAATATAATACACAACATGATGACTATAGCTAACACTGCTGTAATGATATACAGGAAACTTATTATGGGAGTGAATCCAAAGAGTTCTCATACAAGGAGAAAATTTTTTTCCTCTTTTCTTTTGATGGTATCTTTATCAGAAGGTGGGTGTTAGGTGAACCTAATGTGGTAATCAGTTCACAATACATGTAAATCAAACCATCATGCTGTATGCCTTAAACTTAGACAGTGATATATGTCAATTATTTCCTCAATAAAACTGGGTAAAAATAATAAAAGCAAGTGACCTAGAGGTGATTTTTGGAGTCACTGGTTTCAGCACTTGACTCCCACTCTGGATTTATTCTTGTCATTTCTGGCGTCTGAAGATTTTCCAACTCTCTAGCCAGATCAGATGAATTTTAAAAAGATATTTTAAAATTTAGCACATTAAAGGTATTTAGTTGGAGGATATCTAGCCTGCTATAATGCTGGGCACAGAATTCTCACTTGGCTTGTATATTTAAAACGCATGCAAGTTTCTATTATCAGAAACATTTGTAATTTACTGTGATATATTTATTCTAATAGAACAGATTGTACCCCCCTGTTCACTTTTTGGATTCAATGGGTAATTTAAAAAAGAAAGAACTGAGGCATCTAGACTAAGTGACTGGATAAAATCCTATAAATTTAAGGAGATTAATTCCCATAAAAGAATTGTCATCAGGCACTTTGAAGTTTGAAACATCCTGTAGTACCACAAAAGCAACAGACGTAATTAGATACATAAAGCAACAAATAAAAGGCCCCTTGTCTTCTAATAGATTCTTCAAATGAAGCACTATTAACCACTGATGTATTTATCCCCAAAATTTTCTATACAGAAAATATATACATACACATAACACGTATTTACTAAAAACACAAAGCTGTTTTACAAGCTGCTTTCATTTCAGTCAAGTTTTTATTTACATTCTTGAAAATGGCTAAATGGTACTCTATTGTTAAAGCACAGTGGGTTTTACCTCTTATTGGGTAGGGGTTTCCAGGGTCTGGGTACACTACCATGACTGTACTGCTAATAAAAGTGTACTGCTGCTACACATTACAAAATGCCATCCAAAAGTTAGTACAATCCCACGGGGAGCACAAATTCCAGTTTTACAATTGCCAACACTGGCAAAAAGTAAATTGGAGAATAAACAGATGTTTATTCTGTTCAAAAAAATGTTTCAGTTTAATTTAAACTTAATGATAAGGCTTAACATTTTACTGGCCTTTGTATCTTCCACTGCTTTGCCCTTTCCTTTGTCCACTTGGTCAGCAGCTTGTTAATATCATAGATTCATAAGACTGCTCTGTGTGTCAGAGAAATGAGCTCTTCCATCATTTCAGTTAAGTTCCCAGGTTGTCTTCTGACACTGACGTTATTTGTCATAGCTTGACTCACACCACTTCAAGTTCATTTCAGATTCATTCATGTTTTCTTCTAATTTTATGGATTTCACTGGTTATGACTAAATATTCAGAGTACACAGAAATGTACTGCAACGCATAAAGCAAGGAACCAGGTTTGTTTTCTAGTTTTCCCTTTGCGTCAACACTATTTTATTGCCCATTTCCCATGCCCATCCCAGGGTTTAAAAGCCAATGTGACTATATTAATTCTCCCTATGTATACATGGGTCTGCTTTTCCTATACCAAAACCAAACTTAATAACTGCAGAAGAATCTTACACCAAGCATCCAATTAATTAGTTTTCGCAACAATGCAGTGAAAAAGCACAAGTTCTGAAATCAGAACCGGTGTTCTGACTCTACTGGCTGTCACAACTTTGACCTCAGTTTTTGCAACTGAGAAACAGGATGAACCGAAACAACACATGTGAAAATATGTCTTCTAAGTCAAAGTTACAAACGTAAAAGTTGGTACAGCTTTGATGAAGTCACTAAAGATGAAAAGAGAATGTTCTAAAATGATTAATGCGTAATAAGCAAATTATAATCAGTTTAGAATTTGCTTTGGAACAGCAAGTGTGGGGCTCTGGTAGGCTGGAGTTCATTTCCAAGGAGGAAAGCAATCCTGTGGCCCTGCACTCAGGGGCAGGCTGCACGGTTTGCGGGAGATACGGCTACACTTTCAAGGACTGCTGGGGGTCCTTTCTCCTTATACAGAGCTTTGGTCGCCATGCACATCTAACGCTGCCAGTGCGCACGCACGCGCGCGCGCGCACACACACACACACACACGCACGCACGCACGCAGCCCCTTCACTCTCCCTTCACCTTGTGTCTTGGCTGTCGCTCCCACTGTTCCTCTCTGTCGTCCGCGGCCAACTAACTCCCCGTCGTCTGGTGGCGGCTGCAGTATAGGCTGAATGTAACCAGGCTGCTGACTCTGCAGTTATATGCAAATGAAGAATAGCATTCTTTCCATGTCAAAAGGTCACAGGTATCAGAGGCAATAACTACTCAAACAAGTCCAGGGTATTTAACCAAAACCGATCTAAACTAGTAATCAAATATTTTATCCTGAGAAACAAATTTCTTCAAGAAGGGTCGCCAACTGAAGGCGAGCACCAGCTTCCAATATCCACAGGACACAGCGCGTTGGCTTCCTGGTTCAGCCCTTATCCCTGCACAGGACACGGTTCTTAACCTTCTTTCTGCCATTGCAAGCTGATGAAGGCTTAAGAACACTGTGTTCTAAGACGCCTCCGCAGTTAGGACAGGGGAAAGCACTCACTGCAGCGGCGCCCACGCGCTGCACCGCCTCCTGACCACGAGCCCTTCCTCTTGCTCTCGCTCTGGCTCTCCCAGTCATTCTTCTTTTTCTTGAGAGGAAATAATCATGAAGACAATACTCAATGTTCACAGTTATATGTGAGTGTTTCTACAACGTTACCTTTAAACGGATTTGGTTGAGATTCTAAAATAAGCTCCTGGGTAATCCCATACTTTTCTAACCTCTTAACATACAGTCAAAGGCAATATCCCCACCTTCGATAAACTTAAGTGCTCCTGTGCTAGGTGGTGGCACTGAAGTGGAAGACCTACTACACTATTTCATTTTTCAATTGGATTATTTGTTATAAAGAGATGTAGGAGGATAAAACTGTTAAGAGACTGAAGGTGCTGGTGACTAGTTCTTTCTTTCACATCTGGATGTGTAACCTACTATGAAAGAGGGCACCAATGGCAAGTTTTATGCCAGGCTCTTTACATAATTCTTATACATACGTTACTGTATCTTCCAGGATCTTCCCACAATTCCATGTGTAGCTTAATCTTTTCTACCACATCATTTATGTCCCATAATTTCATTCTTGGTGAGGGGCATCCACTTCGTCTCTAAAGAAAATCGACTGAGTCATTCGTCTCTAGACTACTCCTTTACTACGCCTACCACATCTGATCAACAATTCTCTCCATTTCTTCAACACCCAACACCACCATGTGTAATGAGTGAGTACCTAATGTGAGCCAGGATCTGTGTCAGGCATCAAATATGTTGTTAGTACTATGTACAGAGGTTCCCCACCCAGTCACCCCCAACCACAGGGTAGAAAGCAGTATCATCAGGTTATCACCAGGAGAGACCTCAGAGCTAGACTGTCTGAACTCTACTCCTCCATGTAAGTGACCTTGAGCAAATCACATAACCCAAAACTCACGTCTTTATTTGTAAAACAGTTGTAATAACCTATACCACACAGGTCAACTGTGCGGCTCAATGAGAACACACATAAAGGCTTACAAAATACCTAGCACACCATGAGAATTCCACCCATGTGAGCCCTGGTGGAAAAGGCAGATAAACTACAAATTCTTAAGTCTAACAAAGGAACTAAGAAGCATGTTCTTACAAAGAGGAAAGCAGAAGCTAAGTTACACACTGAAGAGGTCTGTCTGCGACGAAGCTAACACTGGAGGACTAGGAACTAGAAGGTAGGTGGTTCCACTCTTCGGACAAGAGGGAACAACCCGTGACTAAGTGCTGACAGCTCGGCTTGTCTGCAGAAAGGAAAGGTGCCTAGTGTGACTGAAGTGTAATGAGCTTGGATTTGATGTTCAATTCAAGGTGAGACTACTGCAGGTTCCAAAGAGGCAGATTACGACATTATTTACAGTTGAGATCACTCTGCTTTAAGTCAGGATATCTTTTTCTGCCTGTTTTCTCAGCCTCTAAAAGTTTTTGTTCCACGGCAAGCTTCCTAGAAAGACAAATCTAACGACACTCTCCACTTTGTCTCTTCAAAGACCTCTCTGACTTCCTAGCATGTTCTAAAGGACTAAAACTACATTAGCTCACCACACTGTAAAAACCAACCCAAGTCAACCCAGGAAGGTTCCTCCTGCGGAGGCGCCAGCATATTCGAACGATTTTTTCGTACCATTATAAAGTATTCTGTATTTGTACTATGTAGACCACGACCACGGCTATACATACATAACTTACACGCTGAGCACACTGGCATACGTGCCGGTCTCTTACTGGGGGACAGAATCAAAGTCGGAGGCCTCTGCCTCGGACTCTAGCAAACGGGGCTTTCCTCCACTCAGCAGCCGTGATAAATTCCACGGTTCACTTTGTCCCCCGGCACATCCTTTGCTGAAGCGCCGTACCCTCCTCTCTAAACTGGAAGAATCCAGCTTATCCTTTAAGGACCAAGCTGTGTGCACGCGGACTGCGCCAACCGCGCGGCACGGGTGTTCAGCCTCCCCCTCCCTCCGTCTCTCACACACACTTCAAGAGCTCCACCACACCTGGCGGCTCATCAGTGCAGGGTCCCTCGCACCTAAGCCCAGAGCTGGCAACCCAGCAGTGACTGTGGGTGTGTGTGTGAAAAACCGAGTAATGAGCCCCACTGCCGCCCCAAGAGCGAGTACTTTTTAACCAGTGCAGCAGTTCTCAAAGCGTGATCCCTGACGGGCAACACCTGGAACGCGATGCCAACGCGAACGGGACGGGGGGTCCCACGCCCCGCCCTGAGCCAGAAGCTCGTGCTCAGCAGGCTGCAGGGGCTTCTGATGATCGCTGAGCCCGAGGACCCCGGAGGACGCTACCCACGGCATCAAAGCCGGGACGGGCAGGACCACCCCATGCCACCCGCTGCACAGGTGCGGGGCTCAGCTGCGTCCTCCCCACTTCAGGCTGGACCACAAGCTACCCCACCACCCGGAAGTGAGAAACCCAGCTGGTGCTCAAAGGTACCCCACCAGCTAGAAAGGACGTCCGGGTCAAGTCGACGTCCACCCCGGGGGCAAGGACACTAGCGTCCACCCCAAAAGCGCACCGCTCGCCGCTGCCCCCCAGCCCGCCCGGCCACCCCGCCCCCACCCACGCCCAAGGAGGGCAGAGGCCACCGCAGTCCGGGCCGCCGATAGGCTGAGCGACCGCACGGTGGAGGCCACCCCTCCGCAGGGCCGCGGCCTCACCAGGCCCGCAGGCTGGAGCGGGAGAGGAACCGCCGTGCCAGTCCGCAGCAACGCCCTCTCAGGACCCTCCGCCTCGCCAACGCCGTCGCCTCACTAACAGGTATCGCCGCGCTACCAACGGTTCCGCACTAACAGTTGTCGCCGCGCTGCCAACGGTTATCTCACGCCGGATCCCTCCGCGCCGGAACTTGAGACTTGGCGCCCCGACGCGGGACCAAACGGACCCCGGCGCCTCTCGGCACCACGGAGCCTCGCCGCCCGCTCTCACCTCGCCGTCCGCTGCGGGGGATTGCGGGCCGCGGGAGCCGACGGAAGTGGGCGGGGTCCTCTTTTTCTGGGCGGATGGACACTGACTTCAAGGGGTAAACTGCCCTGCACGTGACACCCAGCTAACGGCGAGGCGGGTGGCGGCCCGCGCTGCGCTCTGATTGGCTGCTGCGCGGACGGCGGTTTCAGTGGGGCACAGGCAGAGGCAGGGCCAGATGAGCCCCGCCCAGGCTCCGCCCCTGCCTCGCCAGGCCCCGCCCACTCCTTGCCCGAGCCTCCCGTTGTACCTAGAGCATCCGTGACAAGGTGTGGACGAGGATTGCGGTGTGCTCGGCTCGTTCCTGCTCGTGGAGCAGGTCTGTGCACTCAGCACGCCCTCGGTAAACCGTGAAATTGTGACCAAGTGTGTGTTTTGAGGCCTACTGTTTAAAAAAAAAAAAAAGGACCCAATTTTGGGCTGACCCTTTAAAATGATAAGGTATTTCATTTATCAAATAAGAAAATGAGATTTGAATTTTGCCCCCAAAGAAGTAAAACTGCATTCTAGAGCCGGAATGCCAGCGGGTGTGTACCTACGCATTTAACTTTCCACATCAACAAATTTGGGTGCTGAGGGCATGCATGTGCCTGTGGATGACAGTGTTTCTCAAACTTGCCCTGCATCAGGGTCACCTGGAGGGCTGATTAAACCACAGATCGCGCCGCTGCCTCCGCTAGAGACTCTGAGTCAGCAGGTTCCATAGGTGGGACCCACTAATTTGCATCTCTGATAAACTGCAGAAGATGCTGATGCAGGTGGTCCAGCGTCTGCACTGATAGCAGAGGCACTGAGCTAGCTAGATGCCCTTAACAGGAGTTCATTTCCTCACTGGGCAAAAATCAACACAGTTAAAGCTACTGTAAATATTGTAAAATAGAATGGAATTATTTGTCAGGCCGGGAAGTGGGACGGTTGGTGACCAGGTGACTAGTGAAGTCCAGTAATAATTCAATAACTTCTTTATAATGGGGGGTAGGGGTAGTGCGTCTAGGGACTGGCTTTAATGGGGCGTTTATACAGCAAAAATATTGTTTCTTATTCATTAAGAGGGTATACTTCGGTGGAGGCGGGGGTTAGAGAGGGCTGCAGTCTCATCCGTGAGCTGAAAGGAACAGGCTAGATTTCGGTGTTTCCCACAGTAGCTTGATTATAAAAAAATCCACTGGGGGAACTTCTGAAAACACACACATTCCCAGGTAACCCTGATTCTGTAGGTTTGGGCTGGCAGCAAGGAATTTCTTTCAACAAGTAACACCAAGTGATTCTTATGCTCAGAGAAGTTTGAGAAATGTGGGGCAAGCTCTGTGATCCTGACACCTCCGACGCTTAAAGAATGGGGAGGGGGAAGGGGAAGCTGGGACAAAGCGAGAGAGTGGCACGGACATATATACACTACCAAACGTAAAATAGATAGCTAGTGGGAAGCAGCCGCGTAGCACAGGGAGATCAGCTCGGTGCTTTGTGACCACCTAGAGGGGTGGGATAGGGAGGGTGGGAGGGAGGCAGATGCAAGAGGGAGGTGATATGGGGATATATGTATATGTATAGCTGATTCACTTTGTTATAAAGCAGAAACTAACACACCATTGTAAAGCAATTATACTCCAATAAAGCTGTAAAAAGAAAAAAAGAATTCATGAGAAAAGGCAAGACACTTGAAGCGAAGAGTAGTTTGGGGGGAGAAGTGGCCTCACAAAGGTTTTCACCTTTTTTTTTTTTTAAGGGCTCAATTTGGAATACAATATGAACTTTAACTTTCCCAGGAAGGACGTAAAATCTTAGTAGAAAGATGTTCTGTGAAGTTTTGCCAGCAGATGGCGCAGTAGAACAAGAAATATATCTTTACAGCCTCAACTCAAAGTAGGGGAGAAAAATATCGCAAGTGGACGTTAGAGGGTAGAAGTGACACTTTTCCCTCTGTTTATTTTCTCTATATGCCTGATACTGCTTGGAACTGCTGAAGATACAGTGCTTGTCTGAAATACCACTGAGCGTCTTGGTGTGTGCAATGTATGAAACTGTTTTCTAAAGAAGTGAGACAGCAGATGGAGGCAAAGCCCGTCATTCTTCTGATGCTG